ATGACTGCCAGAACTGATTATCCAAGAGGAAGCACCATGTACATCACTAGTTTTGTGGATTGTAGTCGTTTTGGGCTTTGTCGGCTTATCACACTTAGCCGTGAAACTGTAGCCTAGTGGAGGTCCTCCAGTAGCTAATTTTGCATCTGACGTTGACTTTAGCTTCGAAGGGCGAGAATTAGGTGTTCTACCGGACACAGCATCTAATGCAATAGAGTGGCCCGCATATTCCTGTGATTCCTTGTTAATTTCAGAAATCACTTGATCATTCACCGCTTCGTCCCTATTTGCAGCAAGCGGAGTATTATCCTCACATTTGTGCTGGCCACTATGTGGAGCAATATCAACTGGGTGAGGGGCGCCATATGGCTGTTGGGTATTCTGTCTTACCTACTGTGGAATCGTTGGGCGTCCTCTATGAGACTGGATCTCTGCACGCTCAATGCTCGTCGCCGAGGTATTCCAGCTGATTCAAGTTGCGATGAAGTCCGCCATAACCTCAACCAACAACTCAAGCAAAACCCACCTAACAATCGCGAAACTTGGTGGTCTCAGCGCGCTTCGGAGATGGAGACAACACCTCTCCGAGAATTTTCGCACGCATTTCCAGATCATTTGGATCACTGGCCACGGAAAACCTGGCGTCAGTGAAGCTATTTGCGAGGCTGATGGATCACCAATCACTAATTTGCGTAGGCTCATGGACCGCTGGGCTGAGCATTTTCACTGTCATTTTAGTTGGTTTCCCCCTTCTGGTTGTTTAACAAGTGTGCCTGATTGGGTGTATTGCAACGCTTCGTTGGAACCACCTACCGAAGCGAACGTTCTTCTTGAGCTTCGTCACTTGAAGCGATTCAAAGCTCAGGGGTCAGACGGACTTCTTCCGTGTCTGTTCAAGTACGATGGTGAGGCAGTTGTCAATCAGTTAACAGCTCTGTAGAAAAGGTTCCATCCTCTTAGAGTGAGTACATTATCGTACGTGTCTCCAAGATGGGCATTGATACTTCATGTGCCAATCACAGAGGAATCAATTAAATTTCAGTTGCCTCCAAAATTCTACTGCGCAGACTAGAACCGATTCGAGAACTACACTCCCGTGAGGGATAAGCGGGTTTCTGCCCGGTCGTGGGTGTGTGGATGACATGTTTAGTCTTCGCCAATTCCTTGAGCTGCGCTACCTTTATCGCCAGCTCACCATTGTCACCGCCTTTTTGGACATCCTAGCTGCACTCGACTCGGTCAACCGACCTGCTTTATGACGTCCACAAAGGAATGGGGTACCCGAAAAGTATACCGCCATAATTCATGCTTTATACGACAATGTCTCTGTCAGAGTGAGAGCTTATGGTCAGCTCTCTTCATCTTACACCATCAATAGCGGTGTACAACTGGGATGCCCCATATCCCCGTTTCTCTTTACCTTTGCGTTTGAGGGTGTCTTATTAAGCGCTCTGGAAGATCTTCAGGGTTCTGGCCTAGAGCTTTTTCCAGGCGATCGCATAACTGACTTATACTATGCTGATGATATTGCTTTGTTTGATGAGGACACAGATCATGCAGGTCATTCCAAACCACTTTGTGTTACCAAGTATGACATGATCCTCGCCCCCATCGAAATGCATGATCCTACCCCAGAATTGGTATCCACCTACTCCTGTGCTGATTCCTAATGGTGTGCAGCTTGAGCAAGTAGATAGCTTTATCTACTTTTGGAGCTGCATCTCTTCTTATGACACCATTAGTAAAGATTTCACTCCGTATTGCCAAACCCCCATTAGCTCTCGCTGATCTGAGGCATCTGTGGCGTCGTCGGGGACGTTTCACTATTGCTAAAGGGCAATGTCTTCATTTTCTGTGTTCTCGCGGTCCTGTTGTACGGAAGTGAGTCCTGGCCGATCCGCGTAAACGATTTGCATCAGATTTTGGTCTTTGACAATGGTTGTCTACAGAGATTAGCTCGTGTATGGCAGGAACGCCACATTTATGACGACGATGTTAGACGTCGCCTCCTAGGTTTTCCGGGTCTCCTTCTGTTGCGGGCCCGTCAAAAATCCCCGCAAAAACGCGCCAGAAACCCCGGCAGAATGGTTGTGGAAAGCGGGGTCTAATTCCTCCCCACAGCGTAGCAGTGATCAACCACTCCGAGACGCGGCCCAACTACGCACCTTTTGACAATGGCCTTTTACAAACTACCACCTCGTCATGGTAGCAATTTTCCCTTACTTACTGACCCATAGCATTGGCTGTGATTCACCCTTTCGCCCTTTGTTGGTCGTAAAAGAGCCTACAGAGGACCGCCTGTCTTTCTTCCCTCTTCGCCTTACTTGGGAGTCGGTCGGGTCACGTGATTTTGTGGGCGTCATTGGCTGGCCAACGTTTGCGTCTAAGTCATTAGCGCGCGTCTATCGTAACCCCCTCGTGTGCGTCCGTTCCGAGGGCTCAGCGTCTATCCGAACACGTGCAGCTAGGATCGTTCACACGCTCGCTCAGTTTCCGTCTCACCGGCTAAGCTAGCGTCATCAGGTCAGCGCAACTCCGTTCGATTGGCCAGCGTTACAAGTCGTCATCGTAGGCGTGCTCCAACCGTGCCAGCGACAATCTTATCAGGCATTTACGCAATCATATCAGGTGTTTCCCCTAATTATAACACCTCCATAAGCTAATATTGCTGCACCAACTGTGATGGCTAGGTCACGTTTTACATATGGCGTGCGAGCGTTTACCGCGGCGCTCTCTATTCGCTCTCGTAGGGACGCACTGGGAGAAGTCGCGCTGCGGTCAACCTACTACCTGATGACTAAACGTCAAGATGCTGCTTTCTAGTCTATCTGCTGTCGGTTCGTTACATCCACCGTGCTGGGGAGTCAGACATAAACATCGCTAGTTAAAGATCCTTGAGGGCACGGCACGTAATTTGCGGCACTGCAGCTGAGGTTTCTACACCTCTAGCTAAGGTGTATAATGGCGCATATTCGTGGCAAATGGAACGCTTGCATACGTCTGCATCAATTCTACTGTTCCAAACCGTAATCACTAAGCTGACAAAAAAATGACCACCGGCGCGTGCAAAATGCCAAAACATTTTCCTTATATACTATTCGTTTTTGATCATTGTACTTATTACGCACATTTAATCCATTGTTTTCGATAGCTCGATGTCTATTCTATAGGCAGCTGATTATATATATATATATATATATATATATATATATATATATTTGTCCCGGCATTATTGGCACTTGCCAAATCTCGTAGTCCATGATCCAAGGATGCACAACGGTTACTCTTGTTCTTGCTTCACTTCTTTTGCTGAGTCAAGAGATGCAACCCAAATGTCGTGGTACTGGAGATCCTGGTTTGCTTGCCGGTAGAAGAACCAGGGTGTTCCTTAGGCCGGGACCTATTTTCTCCTTGGAACTGTTATACCCAAGCGAAATAAGAGCAGCGGTATGTTAGTAGAAAAAGTTAGTAGCAAGCGTGAAGCGGTACACTGTACTCAGCACGTGAGCACATAAAATCTGTCTGCCACGAAAGTCACATGAAAGCGCGGACGAGTTCCAGTTTGAAACGAATCAATGGCGGACACTGATGGGTTGGCACACAAACAAGTACGTACACAGATACACGCGCTCCTACGCAGCAGTCTTTTCGGCTGATTATCGGTGGATGTATTTGGAATGACCAATGACCGTAGCATGATGCCTTGGGTTAAAGAAAATATTGACAATAGTCAACATTTAGACACTGTTCTCCACGATATTTCATCAAAAAATCTCGAAAGTATAGCACGTCAGAAAATTGAGTTGCCGCGTGCACGTCCCTTGGGGATGCGGAATCAAAAACCCATAATGTGCACAATCCTAGACAGCCGCACGCGTTCGGCAATCGGACACAATGGACTGACTTTGATAGCTTGCATATGGAATGACCTTTGAGGTTTGAAAGACCGCCGGACACAACTTAATGTGGCTGGTGCTCTCTTACTGGTTAGCCTAGGAAGAGAGGACGCAATAAACCGGATACAGCAGAGTAACAAAATCGCTAGTGACCATATCTTCAACTGTAGCTTGTTCAACATTGACAATGGCTTCTATCACCAATGGCTGCGCAGCACTTTCGTGGTCGTTTTACCCTCAGTCAAGTGATTGCTAGTAATATAAATTCACCTCTGTCTTGCTAGTCTTTCCTGTATGTTGTGTCACCATTAGTTCAGCTGAGGACTAACCATCCAGCGCACACAAAGGCATACATTACTGTTTAGTGATCATCGCCTTTTATGCACAACTGATCGTCCCCTCGTCCTTGAGCATTCAAGTACCTCACTTTTCGTGCACCTCTTTAGGTTACTTCTGTGCATGTCGCTCTCATTATTGTTCCTCTTTTCTTTGTCTTCCACTACTGCGCTTTCCACTTCTTGTCTTTTTATTGCAAAGAGACTTTTGAATCACAAAGATTGACCACTCATCTCATTCAACCTGCTTTACTGGTACCTAACTAGTTATGCAGGATTTGACATTATCTACTGGAACTTGGTAAAATTCACTGGCTAGCTTAGCTTAGCTCTGCCTATTAGGTCTCTTCGCCTCCGCGACCAATATTTAGCCGTACTCCTACACAATATCCCCCTCATCAGTACTTCTTGTTTCACTGTTCTCATCTCCGGTTTCCTGTAAAGGGTTACAGAGTGCCAACAATACATTATTACTTTGTACTGGTTCCACGCTGTCATACGTCAGCATTCAGCTGCATTCAGATTTCGGTGTTACAAGGGTGTTGGAAACCGTGGCGAAGTTATTATGAGACACCTGAATTACTACACTACGGATCCCATCCGACATTTTGTGCCTCTGGATTCACCTCAGTAGTGTTTTTCGTCAACTATGAAGTCGTTTTTATCTCCAAGCGTCATTAATTTTTATCCACCTTCGATTTTGCATCCACTTTTCTTCCACCATTTTTATTGAGTATGGCACTGTATGCATTTTCTATTTGCTTTTTAAGACTATGAAGAATTTTCCGACGAAAATTGTGATTCGGCGACTGCCGCCTAAATTAAAAGAAGCCGATTTCCTTGAAATTGTCCACCCACTGCCGGCACACAGCTACTTTCGTTTTTGTTCACCTGATCCAACGCTCGGTAATCTTGGGTTCTCCCGGGCCTACATAACCTTCAACGATGTTGATTCTTTATTCGAGTTCAAGGAACGTTTTGACAATTACGTGTTTGTAGATTCGGAGGTAAGATGGTGTATGACACCTACATCTCCTTAGGGAAATGAGTCATTCGCTCTCGTGGAATTCGCGGTGTGTCAGACCTTGGCAGGGACTAAAGAGTCGCCGTCAGGAAAGAAAACCGAAAAGGTGGATAAAAAGAAAGGTACCCTTGATGAGGATCCTGGGTTCCAGGCATACCTTAAGACTTTGAAGCCAAGTGAAACCAACGCCGAGGCTGAAGGTGAAGCAAAGAAGACACCATGGGAGACTATACTGGAAGAAATCCAAGCGCAAGAGTCTGCCACAGATAAAGTGAGTTATAACTTCGATATTTTGTTATGAACTTGAACTTTTTGGTGGTTAGGTATTTCAGAAGAACAAAGTCGGCTTTTTGGGCGTCTCGCTTTTGGTGCTGTTGCTGTATTACTCCACATGGCTGTCATGCGCGTAGGTACATTAACGACCACGCACTGTAGCTTTATAAGTGTTTCATGGTTTATTCACTTTTTCAAAATATCATCTCATCCCTCCATCCACTGAGCTACTAACGTCTTATCATGCACTTATCTCATTAATCTTAGCCTCTTTTCATCGCATATTCTTGTCTGATGAAGTTTCACTACCTCGGTACACAACAGTCGCTTTGCCCATGGTACACACTGTGCACTTTACTAGTTTTCAAGGCGGCAGTCTGCTCTTATAGGTCTCACTTTCCATCCGCAGCTCAGCTATAGTAGGCCATCAGTCCTCAATGATCATCTTCGAGTAATATAATAATAATAATATGTCAGGTGTAAGCCGTAACGGCGCTTCGCTGCCGTGCAACCACCACCAGTCGCACGCGGGCTGAGTATACCGCGAGGACGCCCACCCCTACGCAGATTCGAACCCGCGCCGCAAGATTACGAGACAAGCTCGTTACCACTAGGCTACGGGTCTAGACGTCTGTCATTATCGTCAATATCAATACACGTTAGCTAGGGGTGCGAAACTCATCTCAGCTAGTGCACGACAATACAAAAAAGATAAGCTAATAGACATAACGGACCTATAAAGAACTAAAAACCATATTATACACAGGGTGAGATCCTTGCACGAATATATATACATATATATATATATATATCTATCCATATGTACATATATGGTTGGCGGCATCCGGTTTCGGATTTGCCTGTCACTGTGGCCAGCCACAGGACGCCTGCGCCTACAGAGGGACCATGAGCGGTTTGCGCTACACCACCCACAGCTCCGACCACACACCCCATATCCAGTGTAAACCCGAAGGAATAAGACCGGGAGGCATGTGGATGGGAGCTACGTTTCATCAACGGAGCCGGCACACACTCCTTCACAGGCAAACGCAAACACGCTGTATTTGGGGAATCAAGCGCACACAAGGCGGTGGCTGGACCGTAGTCCGCTCCACACTGAGTGCATGGAACCGCTCTTTGAGCGTAGCACGGCAACAAGAACCGTGCACCCCCGTCCCCTCCAGCAACGACCAACTGTCTCCTGGAGCCAATATAAACGAGGTAGTGGTTAATAAACATGTAGGCACCTTGTCAACCTGCACATCAAGCGCAGCCACACCGGGAATATCAAGCAACAGCCATTCACTTTAAATGACAAGCTGAAATAAAATAAATCCAATAATTCATACAGATACGGTGGCATAACTCTTCGCTAAATTACCATATGAAGTAAGTTAGCAACGAATCCGCGATAAGTAAGAAATGTGCACAAGTTACTTAAAATGCTACAAACGCAACAAAATTACCGAAGATAAGCGCAATTAGCGTAAGCAACGTGGCCAGTTAATAGAACATTATTCATTTAGGCAGAACAAACCAAATAAAGTGGAATAAAATGTATCCAGCTTAAAAAGACCTAGTTTAAGTGTAGGTTGGTTTAGCCCAACTGCGGTGAAGAAGCATCAAGAATGCAACATCAGCCTCAACATGGGGCACATGAGTGTCATGAGTGTCATATACATATTGAGCCAAAGGCTCTGGGTGAATTCCCTCAAGCAAACCTCCGAAGCACAACGACCACCTCGCGTGCGATTGCCCACCAATGCAATCGTATGCCTGCGCGCAAAGCACTCAGCATCCGGTGCTGGAACGTGCGCACACTACTTTACCGGAACTCGAGTGAGCGCTCCGAGCGACGCAATGCACCGGTCGCGATGGAGCTGGCGCGCTACCACATCGATATTGCGGCGCTCAGTGAAACTCGGCTCGCTGAACAAGGTAAGTTGCATGAAGCAGGTGCTGGCTACACCTTTTATTGGGTGGGCAGCGCCACCTCAGCACCACATGAACATTGGGTCGAATTTGCAATATCCGATCACCTAAATGGCCAGCTGGTGGGTGAACCAACAGGCATCAGCGCGCGACTGATGACTGTTCGCCTACGACTCGGAAGAGGTAAGTTTGCCACTTTTATCAGCACGTACGTTCTGACTATGTGTTATCCTGATGACAAGCGTGATCAATTCTACACTGAGCTATCCTCCGTAATACGGTCTGTACCGTGGAGCGACCGACTATTTCTGCTGGGTGATTTCAAAGCGCGCGCTGGGCGTGATGCATCAGTGTGGACAGATGTTATCGGTCCGCATGGCATTGGTTCAGCGAATGTAAACGGTGACAGGCTGCTCTCACTGTGTGCCACTCACGGCCTGACGATCACGAACACTCGGTTTGCACTGGGTGCGAGTGATATAGGAATTTGGACACACCCACGGAGTGGTCACGCTCTCCTGCTGGACCATGTCATCGTACGTCAGCGTGATATGCATGAAGTGCGCATGACACATGTACTGCGTGGAGCTGAGTGTGGCACTGCTCACAAATTGGTGCGAACCAACCTGCACATATATTTTCGTAACTCTATGTATTGCACATCCGCCGTGAATCGGCGTAAATTTAACATTCTCTCCCTCGGTACTGTGACGTAACATATTGCGCTAGAGAAGGCGCTGGCTGCACGCCTGTGTGATGTGGAATGCATAGCCACAGTGGGCGACCTGTGGCACCAGATTCACGACCAGGTGACAGCTGTTGCCGATGAGACCATCGGGCGCGCAAACTGTAAGCGGCCTGATTGGTTTGATGAGAACAATGCGACGATTGGCGCATTGGTGTCGGGGAAGAATGCAACATTTGCTGCCCATGTCGCAGATCCCAGTGACTTGGGGAAGAAGAGTCAGTTTCGCAAACTTCGACGGCGACTGACCCGAGAGCTCCGTCGTATTAAAAATGCATGGTGGACGGAGAAGGCGAAGCAGATGGAATGCTACGCCGAACGCCGCCAACACAAGAAGTTCTTTGACTCCATGAAGGCGGTATATGGACCGAGATTGGAGCCGCTAAGGACGCTGATCGATGGTAGTTCAGGCGCTACCTGTACACAGACTGCAGACATAATGCAGATCTGGTGGAAATACTTTGACTGTCTCTTGAACAACCGTTCAGAGATCGACTGGCCTACATTGAACAGCCTCAACCAGCACGATGTGAAGGCAAGTCTAGCGGACACCTCGACACTGGATAAGACGCAGAGAGCACTTGCTCAGCTGCGAAACGGCAAGTGTGCCGGAGCCGACGGGATCCCGCCTGAAGTATTGAAACACGGCGGACCTGCGTTGTTGACTGCGCTGCACCACTTGGTGCAACGTGTATGGATTGAGGAGGAGGTGCCTCCTGAGCTGAAGGATGCCCTTGTGCAACAAGGGCAACTGGAGGAAGCAATGTTGTACGAATTACCTTGGCATCAACTTGCTGAGTTGTGTGGGCAAGATGAATGGCTGAATCCTGTTCAACCGCTTCATCAGTCAGGTTTTGGAACCGAACGTGGCGTAAGAGCAATGTGGATCCCGTTCGGGTCGCAGCACTATAGATATGGTGTTTGCGGCTCGTCAGTTGCAGGAGAAATGTAGGGAACGACACCAGCCGTTGTACTCACTTTGTGTTGATTTCACCAAGGCATTTGATACGGGGTACCGCGAGGCGTTGTGGCTGTTGTTTGTTAAGTTTGGTTGCCTGCGTAAGTTTGTAAGTTTAATTGAATGTCTGCACAGTGGTATGCGGGCGAGGGTGCAGCTGAGTGGAGAGACCTCGGATGACTTTGCAGTTGTCTCTGGTGTGAAGCAAGGCTGTGTCTTAGCTCCTGTCCTGTTTAATATTTATCTTCATGCAATGATGTCTTGTGCTTTTGATGCGGCTTGTGCTTACGGTGTTCGTGTGGAGCACCGTATTGATGGTGGGTTGCTGAACATCCGTCGTTTCGGCGCGAGAACTCTAGTCTGTGAGACAACTATCCATCTGTTGCTGTTTGCTGACGACTGTGCGTTGTTTGCACACAGCGCGGATGAGTTGCAGCACCTGACTATTGCTCTGGCTTCAACAGTGGTCAAATTCGGGCTCACCATCAACACAAGCAAAACTGTCTGTCTCTTTCAGCCTTCTCCGGAGGTGCAATCTACAATATTGCCGAAAACCAGCATTGGTGCTGAAGTATTAGAAAATATCTCCTGCTTCTGCTATCTTGGGAGTGTGATGTCGACTGATCAGCAGCTTCACATTGAGCTTTGTAATTGTGTCTCTAATTCAACGGCAGCGTTCGGTAAGCTTGAGTACCGAGTGTGGAACAACCATCAGCTTACCATTGGGACAAACCTGATGTTGTGCAAATCCACAGTGCTGTCCGTTCTTTTATACGGCAATGATACATAGACCATGTACCGGTTGGGTGGGCGATATCTCGAGCGGTTCCTTCAACAGTGTTTGCGACGGATTCTGCGCAGCGGCTGGGGCGACAGAGTTGCAGACGCGGAAGTTTTGCGCCGAAGTGGGTTGGATGCAGTGGACTGCATACTTTTATTGAGACACCTGAGGTGGATCGGTCATGTGAGCCGTATGGATTCTACGTCGATACCGAAACAACTCTTATATGGTCAGCTGAGTATATAGAAGCGGCATGCAGGAAACCGAAACTTTGTTATCAGGAGGTGATCAAAGTGAGCCTGTCCCGTTCTAATCTTGATTGCAACTCATGGGAATCGAAGGCAGTTGAATGGCGTGCATGGCGTGATCTTATCACGTAGGCAGTTTCCGGGGCTCGGGAGAAAGACCTCATGCATGCAGAGCAGAAGCGGCAAGCGCCGACGGGTTGTATTACATTGACATCGAGCGCATTGTGCTGTAGCACATGCGGTCGCGAGTGCCTGAGTCAGGCAGGCTTAGTGAGCCATGAGCGAGACCCTCGGGGCCACCACTGAAGCGACGACGGGTCCTGCAGGGAACGTA